AAGGGTCTAGGCCCAAAACGTCAGCCTCTCTGCTCCTATGATGCTGCTTGGCCTGCTGTGTTCATCCAGCCCTGCACCTTGTCTCGGATTCTCCAGCATCTGCAGTTCCTACTATCTCTGATACACTTATAATCCAGGCTGTTCACTGTTAACTATTGTATTACTGCAAGTATCAATAAATTGTGATTTGAATTTATTTCCAAATTTATTTTATTTGTAAATTTTTATGGTCTTTTGTATAAATCTTTTACACAAAGTAATATACTTGGATCAGTAGCATTTTGAAAGTATTGTTTAATCTATCTTCCAGATGGCATCTACACAAGAATCTCGATATGGCCAGAAAGAAACAGCTGACCAGAACTTTGACTACATGTTCAAATTACTGATCATTGGCAACAGTAGTGTTGGGAAGACCTCATTTCTCTTCCGCTATGCTGATGATTCATTCACATCTGCCTTTGTAAGCACTGTGGGCATTGACTTCAAAGTAAAGACAGTTTTTCGGAATGAAAAGAGGATCAAATTGCAAATTTGGGTAAGTTGACATCTATAGTTTAAAATACAGGTTTCTTTAACTCTGCAGCTCAGTGAGAATCCTTTTTTTGTAATTATATTTGGTATCTCTATACATCATTCATGACATTTTGTATTTTAAAATTGGTGGGATGCTTTACTAAAGTGTTTGCAAGGTATTAATGGCTGTTGCTCTTCTCTCTATGGGTAACTAAATTAAGTGTATGTATTGTCACTGAAAGGGGACACGCACTATTGTTCTGTCCCATTTTTCTCTTTCTCTTCACTAAACTAGTGAATGAAATCCTGGGTACTAATAATCCACTGAACAGCTAAGCCATGTTTGTAACATGAAGTCTTAATGATGAAGAGCATTGATTTTTAAAATGAGAAATAAGGAGAATGTCTGGCATAATGAATTTAAAACAGGAAAAGAAACCCAAAAGGCAATTTTCTTTCTTTATGTAGTAGTTTTCTACAAGTTGCATTTTTTGATCACTAAAATAGTCTCCTGAGTTCTGTCGAAACTGGAAGACCAACTTTAATTATATTCCAGCACCCTTATTTAACCCTAACTTTTCTTTAACTATATTCAAAGAAAATCCCCTGGAAAGTGGAATTCAAACAAATCAATCTCAACATGCAGTTTAACAGTCCGAACAGCACAATTTTTCTGTACTATTTGTTACGCAGTCACGCTTAGTCCCCTTCCCAAGGCTAAGCTGGGTGCACACTCATCAACATCTTCAGGACTTTTTAAATAAATTGCTTTTTTTAATAAAAGCATTATTAAGAAAATATGAAATACTTTTCTCATGTGAAAATCCCCTTATTTTGAGAAAAGACAAAGATTATTTCATGCATATTAATGATGAGGAGGAAGATAAAGACTTGGGTTTTGCATGTGTGTGAGATGAAAAAAGCCTTTTGTTGACATGGTTTGTTAAGGAAAATGAGCGGTTTTTTCATTAAATCTAGAAACTAGAAACTCCATGTTCAACAGCAGCAATAAACATATCTGCTTCGAAAGCCCTGCGTCTGCTCAGTGTCAATGCTCTGGTGACGCCAATGGATAATTTCATTATAAAAGCACAAACACTCAGATAAAGTCATTTTCCTTATTAGACCAGTTGTTTCTGTTCAGTCTGCATGGACTTTCAGTTGCACTCTCTATCTGGTTTTGAGGAAAAATTGAATTATTATCCATCTGCTTTACTAAATCACACTGCACTGTGGATATTTGTAATATCAGTCAATCACTCTGAATATTTTTAAACATTGCTACAAGCTAAAATGTAACATCCTACTGAAAATTAGGTTGGATGACAAATTCATATTTATTGACAAAAATCAATCCTATTTATTCAGGCAACATTTTTTAAAATCACCAAATAATAATTGTCAATGTCAAATGAATATTATTTTAACTTTTTAATTACATCCTCTTACACTTATGCTCTTAATGTTTGTAGACTTAATTGATATCCTGCTCCATATCATCCAGAAACTGAAAATGCACTGTTTGCATAAAATCCCATTCTATTCTGACAGTTGACCAGATTGTGTGGCCAGTAGAAAAGCAATGGTACTCATCACTAACCTCTCGCAAGGTTGCCTACAAAAATCTAGTAATTTCCAATGAGCAGTTTTCCTCTTCCAAACAGTAGTTTAAATCTGACATCGAGTCAGAGATGTACTGCACACAAACAGACCCCTCGGTCCAACTCGTCCATTCCAGCCAGATATCCTAAATGTAGTCCCATTTGCCAGTATTTGGTTAAAGTAAATTTCACGTGCCTCACAAGCAGTGAGGTGGGGCAGGCAGGATAAGAGGAGGACAGGTATCACACTGAAGTATTCTTAGAAGTAGCAAGTTAGAACTTAACTGTATTTTTGTCTTCACTTTTTTAATTTAAACTTTTAAATGCAAATTTAATCATTATTGTAAATATATATTTTGAATTCTTTATCACATTGTAAAATTTGACATTTTTAGATATTTAAAATTATTCTTTCAGAGCCGGCATGACAGTAATTATGAACTTAGATTGCTGTTAAAACCACATTTAAGGTGTGATTTCCAAGGGTTTTTGCAATGAGAATAAGAGCCAGATATCTTTTGTTGATTCGTGGAATATGGGCTTGCCTGTTCAGAGTTTCCCTACAAAAGGTGATGGTGAGCTACCTTCTTGAACCACTGCAATGCTGTTGGTAGATCCGCAATGCTGTTAGGGAGGGAATTCCAGCATATTGACCCAATGGCAGTGAAGGAATGGCAATTTATTTCCAAGTCAGGATGGTGAGTGGCTTGGAGGGAAACTTGTTCCCATGTATTTGCTGCCCTTGTCCTTCTAGATGGAAGTGTTTGTGGGCTTAGGAGGTGCTATCTAAAGATCTTTGGCAAATTTTCTGCAGAGCATTTTGTAGATAGTACACACTACTGCTACTGAGTGTTGGTGGTGGAGGGAGTGGATGCTGGTAAATGGTGTTAATGGAGTGGTCTGCTTTGTTCTGGTTGGTATCAAGCTTCTTGAGTTTTGTTGAATTTGCATTCATCCTGGCAACTGGGGAGTATTCCATCACATTCCTGACTCGTGCCTTGTGGATGGTGAACAGACTTTGGGGAATCAGGAGGTGATACTCACCACAGTATTCCTAGCCTCTGACCTATTCTTGTAGCCATTGTGTTTATATGGTGAGTTCAGCTGAGTTTCTGGTCAATGGTAATCCCCAGTAGGCTGATAGTGGGAGATTAAGTAATGGTAACACTGTGGAATGTAAAGGGACATTGGTTACATTCCATCTTATTGGAGATGGTCATTGCCTGGCATTTGTGTGGTGTGAATATTACTTGTCACTTGTCAGCCCAAGCCTGGATATTGTCCAGGTCAGGTTCCATTTGTACATGGACTGCTTCAATGCCTGAGGAACATTGTGCTATCATCAGTGAACATCCCCATTTCTGACCTTTATGATGGAGGGAAGGTCATTGATGAAGCAGCTGAAGATGGTTGGGCCTAAGACACTACCCTGAGGAATTGCTGCAGTGATGTCCTGGAGCTGAGATGATTGACCTACAGCAACCACAACTATTTCCCTTTTGTGCTGGATATGAATTCAAACAGTAAAGAGGATTCCCTTGATTCACATTAATTCTAATTTTGTTTGCACTCATTGATGCCCCACTGAATCAAATGTGGGACTTTGATCCCAAGGGCTGTCGCTCTCTCCTCACCTTTGGAATTCAGCTCTTTTGTCCATGTTTGAACCAAGGCTGTAATGAGGTCAACAGCTGAGTGGTCCTGGTGGATAGCAAACTGAGTGTCAGCAAACAGATTATTAAGCAAATGCTGCTTGATGACACTGTTGCTGACCCCTTTCCTCTCTTTGCTGATGATCAAGAATGAACTGACAGGGCCATAATTGGCCAGGTTGGATAGTCCTTCTGTTTTTTTTTTGTAAACAGGACATACCAGGGCACATTTCCAGATTTGGCAAGATCTGGAGCACCAGGCTTCAGTGCTATTGTAATAATGTTGTTGGAGCCCTTTGTATTATCCAGTGCCTTCATTTCGTGATGTCATGTGGAGTGAGATGAATTGACTGTAATCTTGTGGATATCTAAAGGACGCTGAGTTGGATCATCCACTTGGCACTTCTGGCTGAAGATTAGTACAAATGACTCATACCAACATGCCGGATTCTACCTTCGTTGACGATCGGAATATTTGTAGAGTCACCCCCTCTAGAGAGTTGCTTAATTATCCACCAACATTCATGACTGGCTGCCAGAGGGCAGCCAAGAGTCAGCTTTAGGTGTGGAGTCAAATAACCAGGAAAGATGTCAGTTTCATTCCCTAAAGACATTAGTGAACCAGATGGGTTTTTCCCGAACAATTGCAAAATATTTATGGTCATTATTAGACTCAACTCCCAATTTTTTTTTTTAAGAAAGGTGAACTCAAACTCCACCATCTGCTGTGGTGGGTTTTGAACCCCAGACCATTACCTGGATCTCTGGATTAGATAGTCTAGTGATGTTACCACCAGGCCACTGTCTCCCTTTGCTTTGCTTAGCTTGCTGAGCTCCTGATCTGTGCCGCCAAGTCGCTTTTAGTCATAGACAATGAAATCCTCCACCCAGGGTATATTCTGTGCTTCTGCCACCCTCGGTGCTTCCTCCAAGCTATGCAAAACATGGATGACTACTGGTTCGTCAGTTAACGGTAAGCAATCTGTGGTAACCAACAGGGGTTTCTTTGCCCATGTTTGCCCCAGTGTCTGTCTGGCTTCATGCTGTTTGGAGTCAATGTTGAGGACTCCCAAGGCAACTCTACCTCAACTGTATACCATGTTGCTACCATCTGTCAGGTCTCTCCTACTACTGGAACAGGACATATCCAGGGCTGGTAATGGTGTTGCCTGGGACATTGTGATTGGGAAGACTTTGCAGACCTGTAAAATTGGCTGGCAGTACTCAGATGCCACCTGCCTTTTTGTCAGATCTAAATTTTGTTGGCAATCCTGGTGGAGGGTTGGGGGGGCAGTCAGGTGGTATGTGTTACAATTCCATTATTAATTTGGAGGATATGGTTATCTGATCTGGGTTTTCTGAGTTCACAGCTTGTAGTTTAAAAGAGCTATTACTGGATTATTTAGAGTTATAGATTTATACAGCATGGAAACAGGCCCTTCGGCCCAAACTGGTCGATGCTGACCGTGGTGCTCACTCAGCTAGTTCCAATTGCCCGCATTTGGTCCATATCCCTCTAAACCCTTCCCATCTATGAACCTATCCAAATGTTTTATTTTAAATGTTGCTGTTGTACCTGCCTCAACCACTTTCTCTAGCAGCCCATTCCATGTATGCACCACTCTCTGCGTGAAGAAGTTGCTCCTTGCATCCTCCTTAAGCCTATCCCCTCTCTCCTTAAACCTATGCCATCTAGTTTTCAATTCCCCATCCCTGGGAAAATTATATGCATTCATCATGATTTTATACACCGCAATAAGGTTACCTGT